TTGAAAAAGGGCTTTTAGAAAAGAGGCCCTGGAATCTTTTACCACATTTTCCCTGTAAAACCCTACTGAGAAGAAAGCTACCTGTGAACCAGAATGCAGGGCCTCACCATGTAGGAAAAATCGGCCAGCAAAATCTGTGCCAGGTAGTTGTGGCATCCTGTTATCCCTGCACAAACCACTGTATACCAATTGGCTGAACTAAAAAAGAGGACCAAATCTACAGAGACTACAAGACTTAATCAAACAAACCTTTGTAAACTTTTTTCTCTTACAACAGTTAAGAATACTGAGGAAAGTAACCAAAATATTTGCTCATTGGTTTGTGTTTATGTTTGTTTTGACATGTAGCTTCTATCACTGCCCTAATGGAAATAGAACAATTTGTGGTAAATAGTGATTACATTTATTAACTTTAATATATAATGTAATACTAACTATAAGAAGTTATAAGAACATGGAAAAAGACATTTCATTTGTAACAATGCACATATACAGTAAAAATTTATAAACAACAAAATCATAATAGTGATAGTGTTGGAGGAAAGAGGGTAATGGGAACAGAGAATAGATTTAAACTCTCTAAGATTCATTCTTGTGTGCACAACATATATATAAATATATATGAAAATATAAATAGTAGCTTTATGCATAATTTATTAAAATTATATGTAATTTTTGGGGGCCCAGGCCCTTATGCATTTACCACTGAGCTATGGCCTCCGCTTCAAAAATGCATAAATTTTAATAGAGAAAAATTATTATACAATTAGACTTTCATTTATGGTGGAAACTGTTCATTAAATATGAGATCATATTTTCGAGGAAGAAAAGAGAGAGAACAGTACTTTAAAAACTCAGTAACAATTCCATGCAGATAACAGTCACAGTTTCCAGCCCAGAAGAGTAAAAGCTGTTCAGTGTTTTCAGGAGATACATACAAAGAGGTGTTACCCACAGCACTAGCATCTTCTTGAGAAATAACAGAGTTTAAAGTGTAATAGGTAGCAGAAGGTGTCCATTGCTAAATAAAATAGGAATTAAGTTAGTATATTTTGATGTAAACCATTCTATTAAGGATAAAATATGATTTAGGGGTTTTTTCCCTTTAAAATTCATCATCTAAAACATAAAAGTAAACATCTTTCATATTGCTTTTATAAATATTATTGTCTTTTTATTTAATTTATAAATGCTATTGTCTTTTTATTTAATTAACATTATTAGTGGCCATATTCAGTAACATCTGTATTTTTAAATGAACTTAAATATACATTTACATGTTTACAGATAAACATGTATCTGTAAACATGTATAGGCACATGTTTCTATATCTATCATCTGTCTATCACCTATCTTTAGATTAGGAAAAACATTATAATCCTATATTCTCACCTATATAAATCTTTATCAAGTCTGAACCTTGTATTTCTGTCCCAGTCATGCTTAACTGATCATTGTATAATTTAAAACTGAGAAAAAATTTGGAATATGGAGCAAATAAAAAAGCTTTTGCTAAAATCACAAATATGTTTTTGGGAAAGAAAAATCATACATATTCTTAATACTCTTTTCTGCTATTTAGTCACATCGAGAATTCAATCAAGTTACTAATAATCTTAAAAATGAAGGCACATCATTTGGCAATCTTTTCTTCCCAACCCAGGCCCTTACCAAGGATACACAAGTGCTCTTCCTTTGAGCCATACCCAGGCCTCGTATGGCACTCTTGACTAGAGCTTTATCAGAACAGCCCTTTACACAGCCTGCAGGACTCTAAAAGTTTTGAGACCTCCACTTTTCAACAATGTCTGCACATAAAGTATTATTTTGTGTAAACAAATTTTGAGGAACCAAAGAAATCTCATAAGACAAGTACATTTGTATTCTATTAGTTTTTACAGTTATGATTCATTCTACATATTGGTCAAATATTTTAAGTTAGTGAAACATCAAAGCTTTGTGCATTATTTTGGTTTTTACTCTGTAAGATTCTAAAGAACAAAATGCTGTTCCATTTCAAATAATCATTGCCTTTTGAAATATGCTTATAGTTATATTTTCCAGAATATTTGTTATGATTTTTATAATATTATTACTCTGAAAACTTTTTTTCTTCTTTATAACCAAGAATATTTGCTGGAGATGAAGCTTGTAACGTTTCTGTTGTTCAATATTTGGATTTTAAGTCTTTATATCATAATGACAGTATCCCATCCTCTCTCACATTCCTTAAAAGGGCACTGTGTAAGAATGTCAAGTAGACTATTGTTTAACTGTGCTGATGAAGGTGTGATGATGGTGTTAGGAGGCAAAGAGCAGAGAAACATTGACAATGGAATCTGTGGTACCAGTTAATTTGGTTGTTGCCATAGTCATCTGAGCTTCACTATTCCCTCAGTGTACTAAGACATTCTAACAGACACTACCTTCATCTGGCCAGAAAGTTGTAATTGCTTGGCCCTTCAATATATTTGCTGAGTTTTAAATAGCATTAATAAGTAAGAATCGCTTTTTATCATTTAATAGACACAGACTTATGCCATCTTATTAACAGAGAAACAATGTTCTTGAGCTGATTATTTTGTAGGTGAATCACTCCAGCTCGGAGGCAGCCAGTTACATAGCCCCACCTAAAGAGATATAGTCTCTGCAATCCTCAAGTTCTTCCCCCATCACTTCATCTGTCATGGAACTTTCTATCTCTTTCACAGTCACATTCCTAGAGGGTTCTCCAACCTTGGAATTAAACAGCTGACCTGAACAAGTAGATGTTTGAGCTGACCTTTCAAATAGTACTGCACATTTCCAGAACTTTCATTGCAGAGAGTGAAGCATAATATGTTCTCAGTGAGATGTAATGTCACCATGCTTTTTCAAGTGAACAATAGTTGGGAAGTAAGACCTTTAAACTTATCCAACGGATACCCTCTTAAACACTGGGACAACATCAGGCTGCTATTTGTCTGCCGAACTGACTCTTTATAGAAAAATGTAAACAGAAGGAGAGAGAAATTAGGAAGAAAAATGCTAAAGAGAAGTAATAAAAGGAATAAAAATAGTTTCAGAAAGCAGGATTTCTAGAGGCTTTGGATTTTTCTAACACAAGCTTTTAAAATCCAGGATACTATGTATAAATTTTACGGTAACATTTTATTTCCACATAATTACTGAAATTTAAACCTACATTGTCAGTCTTGTAGTTGAATTAAGTCATTCACAACTTGCCACTTTAATAAGCAAAAAATAGGAGGTTCGTTCATATTGAACTAATGAACTATTTGTTTTCAGGCAAATAATTTATGTTTTCTGTACTTCATCTCATTCATCCACTATAGATAATGTCCAGTCTCTTATAGTTCTATAAGTTTGTGACTCTCTAATTTTTCCCCAGGAAAAATGAGATACATATTTTCCCTTTACAAGGCAGGCCTCTTAATTCTGCTTGATATTGTTGTAGCTGCAGAATGAGATTTGTTTTATATCTGTGAAATGAATCTATGTGTTGAGTTACAGAAAGTGTACAGTCCCAAATATAAATTCTTTCATTGATTTCCTTCCTGTATCTTTCCTTCTGTTATTAGCCTTCCTCACAATAGATGGTGCTTTTTTCTCAGAGACATTACTGATTTTACTCTTTATGAAAAAGATCAGAGACATTAACTTTACTCTTTTAAATCATTAATTAAAGAAACAGACATGAAATTAAAAAGATTTGATCATGAGCAATTTGTAGCACCTTGCTAATAAAAACATAAAAGGGAGAATGATTGTCAAATTATTCAGATCTATCAAAACCTGTAATATTTGCTGAATAGATGAAGCAAATATTGTAACTAAATATGAAAATGTCATGTTCACAATGTACATATAACACTATTGAAGAAAAAGCTCCTAGTGCACATATAATCTGATTGAGGACTAAAATATTTACCTGCTTTAATAAAAAATGAATATATAGCACTATGCATTCACACCTAGTATTTGAACACACCCATCAGTGTCATACAATTAATTTCAGTTACAAAATTGAGAGCTTGCACACTCTTGACCAAATACATCTGGAACATCTGGGTAAACAGAAAGTAGACCAAACGCTCAGTTTTCATCTCTCTCTCTCTCTCTCTCTCTCTCTCTCTCTCTCTCTCTCTCTGTCCCTCTCTCTCTCTGTCCCTCTCTCTCTCTGTCCCTGTCTCTCCCCTCTATCTCCTTGCACAGCACTGGTTACAACTTTCCAAATAATAGTTCTAATACAGAATTATGTTGCTTTTAGTTACTCCTAGTTGAGTATAACTTTTGAAGGCATTACAACATAGTCGTGTCCTGTAGAGTCCCTGAAGCACTATATCTTTTCCAGATGCAGTATGTGAAACTCAAAATCTGCAGCTACCAATGGCAAACAATTCTGGGAGGCACAGTGAACATGTTTGCAACAGCAAATAGCACTTCCAGGGAAGATGCCAGGAAAACTCTCTATGGTTAGTGTGGCCTGGGGAAGGAAGGAGGAGTAGAGTAGAGGCTGCTATGTCAAGGGAAGAGAAGGGGTGGGGCTGTGGTACAGCCTAAACCAGCAGGTGGAGGAAAGTTACAAGGCTCATCTCTTCAGAGAGAAGACTTGGACCATCAATTAGGGAAAATAGCTACCCCCATCCATAACTTATTGCTTCCATAGCTCATCCAGAGAAACAGAGTGTAGCACACTGTAGCAGGATACCCAGAGTTTTCTTGACTCAGAATAAGAGACAGCTCCGAGAAACAGCTCCTCCTCCCTTCCAGACCTTTAGGGCTTTTTATCAAAGAAATTTCCCTGTTTTTGGAATTTGGGATTCTTTCTTTATCAAAGGAAGAGAAAATGGAAAATAGTTTTTCAAACACAAACAACCATCTGTCCACTATCACCCCGTTTTCCCATTTATCTCCCTCTTGCCCTCCTTCCACTTTTTGGCATGGTGTTCCCTTGTCACCCTATTTAGCCACTGAACTCTGGCGCCGTCTGTCCTTACCTGACGATCACATACATGACCAGGAAGTTTCCGAAGAGCCCCACCACGCACACGATGGAGTAGAGGGCCATGATGGTGATAGCTGTGATCATGGAGGGGCTGCCGGTCGGAGGGCATAGGCTGTCGCTCCCTACCAGATCGGTGCGGTTCGGACCGCATGGGTCGGACAGATTGCCATCTAAGTGTGATAAGTTGGTCCAGGAACCGGGGCTAGGTGCTGGGGAGCAAGTGGATTGCGCAAAGGGATCAGTGCAGTCGCTGGCATTCCCGGGCACGGCACCGCTGTCCATGGTGCTGACGGCCTGCTGGGCACCAAGATGCGAGGTAACTGAGAGAGGATCGCGACTTTTCAGGTTCCAAGCGCCTCAGCCGCTTCCGCTTGTCACAGCCCCAGCCCCAGCTATTTCTCACAAAAACCAACCCTGGAGGAGTCAGAGAGGAGCGTCCGGCAGAAGGGGGAGCTGAGCATCTGACATTATCCTCAGCCTGTACCCCCCTCCCACCCTAATAGTTCACAGAGGCACATTTCCAACCCCACGCTGTGGGAGGGGAGGAGACAGGGCTGTGCGGGAGTCTGGAGAGGGGGGAGGAGAGAGAAAGGGTGGATTTTGCGCAAAGCAATTCAAGGAGTCCATCTCCTCACTTACACTCTTCTGTGCAACACATCTCTCCGGGAGGGGAGGGAGGGGGGTGTGTAAGGACCCAATGGGGAGGGTAGTCTGGAAGCCAGAGTGGAGAAAAATAGAGTTAGTTTCTTGGGAAGCAGTAAAGCATTACAAAGGGGACTGGCATCATCTCATTTTTCCAGCTCCCTTTTCTTCGTGATCTGTCAGGAAAGACATTGTCCTGATACAACCCTAAGGATCCTGAAACTTCAGACATTCTTCCGTTTCAATTGCCAACTGCAATTAGTTGGAGGCATGGGACCCTTCTTTTGTAGCCCTCTTTCCCTCAATTCTCTACATCAAAGAGAGGGAGGGAAGAAGGGAGGGAGTGAGAGAGAGAGAGAGATTTTTCAAATTCTTTACGATCTGTCTGAAAAGAAAAATAATTCTTTTTCTGTAAAAAAAAAGGAAAGAAAAAGAAACAAACTTTGTAAGATAAACCTGTTTTCTTTATTCCTTTCCCCATTTTCTCTTAAAGTAAAAGGTCTGTTTCCATTTGACCTTATCTTAAGTAGAACATAAGAACTGATTGCAGAAATTAGCAGATTTTGACATCCAGTAAAACCACCTAAATATAACATTATTCCTCCATAACTTAAACCTCATAGACCTGGTTGGAATTATTTACCTTTTTTATCTTCTAATTTCCTAGATAGACACATGTTTCTGAGAAGAACGCTGCTAAAACCAAACACAACTTGCATCATTTTAGTCTGATTTTTATATGTAGTTTCTCTTGGAATTTCTACACTAAAAATCACCAATATTGCCCCCAGAACTCAGGAAAAAAAGAAAAATGAGTAAATATTTTAATACTAAATTTATTGAGACATCATAAGATTAATACAAGTTAACTTTGGCTTGTACAGTTACAAGAAGTATTCAAAGTGGTGGGTATTATCTTTCATACATTTATTAGCATAGTAAACCGCTGAAGAGTGTGTAGAATTCTTAGAGGACTTTGTATCTCTGGTTGAAGTGGTCCTTGGGGGGACACTGATACATTTAAAAACTGTATATTTAATTTCTAAGTTTACAAATGCTTCTGTTTTACAAACCAATTCGTAAATGCAATGCTTTTAAATAGTTAATATTAATTATCAAGTAATTCTCATTCCTTTGCATGTACGTGTTTGTGAATATCTTTACTTTTTAAACACAAATATTTAAAATGCATATTGTCAATTTGATGTGGAAAGCCAACTGTACTCTTGGGGTACTGAGAAAGGAATGCTTAGAAAGAACACTCAATTAGACTATTATCTTTAGAGATTTGTCTTGAAAACATATAACTCATGGGTAAACTGTATTAATCACAGGCTATTTTGCCAGTGTTCAGTATTATTTTTATCCTTTTTACATTTAAAGGTATAATTTCAGCAAAAATGTTTCAGACATTTCCTAGAGACTAATAAAAGCATCTTTAAATATAGTCTCCTGTGAACTAGAATATATCTATTCTTTTGCATTGAGCTGAACTTTTCACCATTCACTCAGTGCCTTGAAGACGTGCTGAAGAGGTCTGTATTGAGGGTGTGTTAAAGAAATAGACACATGGAGAAAGTCCCATCCTTGGAGCCAAGTCATGTGAGAAACAGATCTGTAATTTCTTGACTGTATGAAACATGTAGTATGAATATATCACTTTGTCTAACTCAATGATTGTTCTCTTACCAGAAACTTTAACTTTGTGCTTCAACCACATATTTTCAGCTGAGATTAATATTTCCCTTTTGTTCCTTTTTCTCACATTTTACTGCAGATAATTATTATCCCTCTATCGTGAATGTAAAATTTTCTGGACATTACTAATTATCAGGTCTTAAATTGTATTAATGTATCTGTCTTGGTGTGGGTATCTCCTATTCACTCAATATGAAACTTGAGAAAAATGCGGAACAAACATAATTTCTCCTTCACATATGTGAAATACGATAACCTCAAGAAATTCAGAAAAGAGCTACCCAGAAATATATATATATATATATATATATATATAGATAGATATAGAAAGATCTCAAATTCTAGCTTCTTTTATTTCTTAGTTTTTTTTTTACATAATTGCATATTTCCTACAATAGTGGTCTAACACCTATTGTGAAAACTCACATCTCCCATTAAAATCAGGTAGATTACAAGTGAGTAATTTTATTACTATTCTAGTTTTTTTTTACGTATTCTTGATTCTAATCATGTAAACTTTACCTTCTTTGTTTCTAAATGGTATCTGTATAATAGGAATATTTGCCCTTTTATTGATGTTTCTTCTTTTAGACCAATTTTTCTATTTGTAGCAAGAATAATTTATTGTCTGCCAGTCTAGATTTAACATTGGTATCAAATCTGTATCATAAAACATTTTTCATAAAAATGTTTCAAAGTAATGCACTTAGTCATTACATAGATGGATCTCAAGAAAGTGTTAAAAGTCACTTCACATCCATGAACTTCAAATTATTTTTTTTTCAGCTATGAATAAATTGCCTTTCACCCATACTTATTTTCATAGCTTGGTCTTGAGATTTTTTTTGAGTAGCTGTTAATGGAACTCATGATTAACAGCTACTAATGAGGAATAGAAACATAAATACTAAGAATGGACCAGAATTGTTTAAAGCTTATCAAGAATGAGCACTCAAATTTTATTGAAATAATTGATTAATATTTGTTTTCAGAATTTTGTTACTAGTAACCAAGGCTTTCTATTTTTTAAGGTCATACACTAATTTTCTAGAAATATATAATAAGTGTCCACTTCTGACAAATATAGTAGTTCACTTTTGAATAATGTGTGTATGAGTGCATGCTTACAATCATAATATGATCCTTTGGGCAAATTGGTAAATGTAAATAACATATCTGGATCATTTTCAATCCCTTTACCTAGAGCTCTTTTATATTTCCCCATCTTTAAAAAGTCTGCTTCTTTCATATCATCTGTTATAGTTTGTGTTTAAATGTCCCTCCAAAGCCTCATGCAGTCATGGAGGTGGTGAGTCTAGCCTTTGTGATTGGTTCATTGTCTAGTGCTGGGATTGGTGATGTGAGTGCTGCACCCACCCAGGGAGGTCGTAGCTGGCACACAAGATAATGGAGGGAAGGAGGCATATTTTTTCTCTTTTTATCCTTTGGCTCTTGTTACTTGTGGCTTGTGAATGGCTGCTCTTTCACCATGCTACTCTGCCTTGGAGCCAGGTGAAACCTCTCCAAACTGTAAGCTAAATAAACTTTTCCTTATTTAACTTATTTAAGCATCAGGTATTTTTTTCCAGCAATGAGAATAAAAGTAACCAAGACAGAATTTGGTACGAGTGGAGTGGGGTCATTGCTGTGATTGGACCTGATCATGTGGTTCAAGAGCCTTTGGGAATGTCTTGTGGAAAGAGTTTGGAAAGGTTTGGAGATGTTGCCTGAAGGAGTAGAGCTGGAAGAGCTTATGCTCTTCTGTATGGGAGATTCTGGTCAGAGCTCAAAAGACCAGAAAACCAGTAATGAACAGGTTTGGGAGATTTCTGCTAGAAATAAGGATTACATTGCTTGTTGGACTCCGGATGATGTGTGTTATGACTTGGAAGAAAGTTTGTCTGCATTTTACCTGTGTCCAGAGACTTTGCCTGAGACTGAGATTAAGGCTGATGGACTAACTATTCTGGGAGAAGAAATTTCTAGGCAGTCAAATGTTGAGGAAGAGGCATGGCTATTGTTGGGGACTTTTAGACAGATTTATATTGCAAATCAAGAACAAAGAACTCAAAATGGTGATTTAAAACACTGTGAGTAAAGCTGTGGACTGTAAAGATAGATCTGAGATCTTGATTGCTGGAAAGGAACAGAGAAATAAAAAGATAGCCTGGGGACATCACTTGAAGCCATGGGTCTCCGTTCTTTGCAGCTTCAAACTGCAAAAGTGAAAGACTTTGTTTTGATGAGAAAACTGCAGAGCACCAGGTTCCAGAATGGCAACAGCATAGAGAAGCTGTTCCTCACAATCAGGTTCAGAATGCTCAGCAATCCAGGCATTCAACCCCTACTGCCAAGAGATACTAAAGTCTGGCTACTATTCCAGCTGGCAGTAGACTTTGGCATCATCCACGTGGCACTGGTTTTAGGCACAGAGACTGCAAGAGTTCTGAGGTTAAGGCAACTTCTACCCTGATTTCATAAGGCCATGGTTGGGGGGACAGGAAGCATGTCCCTGAGAAGGCAGTGTGTGAATCTGTGAGTGTGAATCCAAAGGTACCATGGAGAACCCAGAAGTTTGGAAAACCCAGGAGTGTGGATCATCTAAGGGAAACCTGCAAAGAGATCAAAGCCAGTCCAAGAGAGAACTTGTGGGAGCTACAACCACCAGAAGTGCTATGGGATGGAGTCATTTAAACCATTTGGCGTTCACAACCAGATTGCTTCAGATGCTGAACATGGAACTCCAGGACTTGTTTGCCCTGCTGGATTTTGGACTTCTTTTGGTCCTGTTCCTTTGTATCCCCCTGTATGTACTCTTTGGAATGGTAATGTTTATCTTGTGTCATTGAATGTTAGAAGTGTTTAACTTTATTTGCATTTTTACAGGAGATTATAGATGAGAGTTTGCCTTAAATCTCAGGGAAATCTTGTGACTTGGACTTTTCAGCAATGCTGAAACTGTTAGGACTTGGAAACTCTTAGAGATGGACTAAATGTCTTTTGTACAAGATGTGAATGAATCTTTGGGG